CCGTTTACTTCATCACCAGCATATTCATTTTATGTAGTTGATAACGGGTGATCCCGATACTGCGTTAATTACCAACTTATGGATGATGACCACAGTAGCTTCTGCCATTGGCTTCAGTCCACAGACTCAACACCGCATCATCCATTCTATCTCACACTGAGTCAATATGGAGCTGTAACTGATACGATATTCAATCGATTTACGGTTTCCCAACTGTCTGCATTAAATCAAAACATTAAACCTCCAGATTCACCATTGAAACCAATTCGCGTCCCAGAACCCTTTAGCCTAAATTCGTCATCCTGGCGTCGTTAATTGCTTGTCTATGGCCCCCCAACCTCAATCTACAACTCGCCTCCCTGATCTGATGAGACTTACCGAGCTGCACTCTGCACCCCGGGACTCTCAACCCATGGTCCCCGCTATCGTATCTCAGCTTCTGTCGGAGGTCAACCCGTGAGACCGTCAACCCCATGAGGAATTTTTGCATTGGTAACGAATAGGCGAATTCCTTAGGCTTCAGCGGATACCCTGATTGGATCTTCTCAACACAGTTGCTCCGTCAAGACAGCAGGGCATGGGTATAACAAAAAGAACGGCGTGGATTTGGGCTTTAATCCTGGGGAGTGCGCTCAAACGATCGACGAGGCTCATCTCGACCCTTGGCTTCGCTTCCCATTGTCTTGGAACTCCATAGATATCGCGGCTAAAGCAAGGGGTATGTTGGGCATCACCAACAAACGAGCTTCCGCAATGGCTAGTTCGGGACGAATAAACCACCGGAGCTCTGGTTTGATTGCTCCGTAGCCTTATGGAGAATCTTGCCTGAGAAACAATACCAGACCCGCCCTATCGCGGTATCCGAGAAACGACTTTCCGGTATCAGCTCTGCACTGACTGGACCATCCGGATCCTCTGGAAGTTTCGGGCACCTTGCAAACAGACACAGGATCATGGCTAGGCCAGCCAAGATGCTGCCTGTCATCCAGAGACACTGCAGCGCTTTCGTCACAGCGCTCATCATGTGCTCGTGCTGGCCAAGGCTTCCATGTTCAACAGATGTTTTGATCATCTTCAAGGCATTGCTGATCTGAGCTGTGTCGAGGCCTAGCTTCCCGAGCTCTCTTTCCAGCTGGACGGAGAAGACCGCGATACCAATGGCTATTCCCATGCATTGGCCCATCGTCCGAAGCAGATAGATCATGCTGATTGCATGTCCAGCGTCCTCCTCTCGGACCGTGGCTTGTACACCAATGTTCATGACTGGAATAAGGAGGCCTATTGCGATGCCCAGGAACAAGGTCATGACCAAGATCACCCACGTCGGGGTGTCCTTGTCAAGAATTGTCAAAACTCCAAACATGGTGACCATAAGAGCCCAACCACCAAGCAAGAAGCCCATGTATCGTCCTGTCCTGTATGCCACAATTCCTACGACAGCCGCCATAGGAGCAACAGTGATAGTAGCCGGAAGTGCCCATACACCAGCCATAAGCGGTGCCTGGCCTTTGATGCCAAGAAAGTAGACGGCAAGATAATATAGAACCATCCACATGAGACTGCCGTGGATGGTCGCACTAGCAAACTGGAGGACTGTCGATCGATGTTGGAACAAGCTCTTTCGAAACATGGGCTTTTTTGTCGTCTTCTCGTAGAATCCCAGCCCTAGGAATGCGAGGGACGAAACGACTAGAGGAACGATTACTGCCGCTGATTTCCAGGGGAAGCGTGAGCCACCCCAAGTCAGAGGGAGTAAAAGACTGACGCTCGCGATGATATAAAGGAGAATCCCCACCCAGTCCAGGTTCTTGATGAGACGCAAGTTTCGCTTCCCTTTGTCATACCCTAGGAGAAACATGGCTCCTATCAGGCTACTTCCGAGCAATGGAAGGGTGCACCAAAAGATCCATCTCTGCAACAATTAATATCGGGACATGTGGTGTGGTAATGAGGGATACAAACCCATTGGGAATCTTTATTCTGAACAACAGCTCCTCCAATTAGGGGTCCAGCAATAGTTCCTAAAGCCCAAGAGACATGCTGATACGACATCCATCGAGAACGCTCACGAATCGCGAACATGTCGGCGTGGATGATACCCGACAATGCCTGAGGTCCTCCCGATCCTACTCCTTGCACAGCTCGACCTGCAAGAAGCATCATACTGCTTTGCGCAGTGCCGCAGAGCACCGTTCCAGCGATGAATATGACCAGGGATGCCATGTATGCTGGCCTTCTGCCCACAACATGTGCCATTTCGGCGAATATGGGCTGGGCTATAGCTGTCGCTAATAGGAACACGGAGCCCATGCTCAGGCTTTCGGAAAAGGAGGCATTCAGTTCTCTTGCGAGCGACTGGACCTCTGTGTTGGTGATTGCTTCACAACTGGGAGGGGCAACTTACAGGAAGGGCAACGCAGATGCAGGTCGCGTCGAATGACTGAACGAGAGAAACCGTATTCATCACAAGCAGTATACTCACCTTTCGACTATGACTGAGCTCTGCTTTAACTCCATGTTGTTCTTGGACTTCGGCTTGGGAGGCAAGAGGTGCAGCGACCTCCTCGATCTTTTCAGTCGTCGTGTTTGCCATGATTGAACAGTTGCAAGGATGGAAGAAATTCAATTACGACATCTCACGCAATACATCTGGAGTTTATAAGCAGGTCAAATAGCCAATACCTCCTTGACAAGAGCACGTAAAGTTTCGGGGCTTTTGTTTACAAAAGGTTAAATAAGTAAATAAGGACAGGTATGATCACGGGGACGTTTGGGGTTCTCCATCTTTACATACTCAACTTTAGAAATGTTCCTCAAAAGTCTTTTCCTATTCATCAGAAACAACAGCCATGGAACACCTTAGCGGCCCCGTGATTCTTTCTGGATTCCTCATGTCCAGTGTTGTTTACTGGCATGTTTACTATCTTGCTGACTACCTCCTCCGCAAGTACGCACCAACAGTCCACGAGCGACTCAAGCAGGAAGACGAAATACGGAAGCTTATGCCTCTCGTGATCACACTTGCTCGAATGGCATTTGGTCTTACCGTGGTTCTGCCGTCCTGTGTCCAAGCTACGAGAACTACACCATGGGGAGTTGATCAGCCCCTGAACAACGCAGGGAAAGTCTGTGTCGTATCACAGCTTGCAGTGTGGTCCAACGAGTTGCCTCAGGCACGGCTCTACTCTATGGAGCTGTTCGTACATCATATTCTCTGTCTCGTTGCGACATCCAACATCATTCTTTCTCCACCAATACACCAGATCAAACCCCTTTACATCTACTTTGGGTCACAGTGTGGTGATATCGGGCCAGGATCTGTCATGATACTACGAATGGCTGGCCATAAGCTCAAGACTTCGAAGTTGTTGTACAATGTTTCCTTGGGATCCACGTTACTGTTGATCTTTGGTCGCGTCGGAGGCTCTTTGTACACCCTCACCCAAGTCCTCACCGACCCCTATAACCTCGCCGACTGGGTAAGCGCCCTCGGAATCTTGGTCTTTGGGTCCTACTCTACATATAATGCGTTTCAACATCTGAGACGCCTCGAGATTATCAGAGTTGATCCCGTGAGGTACAAGGTCACCTACTTCTGCCAGTTCGCAGTGCCTGTATCGCACTCGTTACTGGCAGTCGCATGTAGCATTACGCTTCTCTCAAGCTTGTTCCTATATGGAATCTACCTTGGACGGCCCTTGAGGCCTGGTGAAACACATCGACTATCACTTCACACCCTTATTGCTGTTGCACTTGGCATGACGGGAGCTTTGGTCGCAAGGCTCGCTTACCCGCATAATGCTTCCCGATCTAATCCATGGGGGCGTTTGTACGTTCCGTTTGGCGCGATTTTGGCGGTGTCATGTATATCAGTCATCAGCACTTTCACGAGCTATACGGACCAGAACACAGTTATGGCATCGATAGGGGTCAGCTTACCTCTGTTCTTCAGTCTAGTCAGGGTAGCCCAATACTACGCAGCCAAGGATGTAGAAGTAGTGCGTGATGCGAAGCTATCTCCAGGCGACAGCTTCATAAGGAGACACGTCGAGGTAGCCCTTGAACATGCTGTCATATTCGCCATCCTTCTGGGAATCTTGGTCATCAACCTCCTGAGTCTCCCAGAGGCAGCCCGTCTTTCCATTGCAGCATGCCTTGTCGTGCAACTTCGATATCGTTGGAACATCGCACCTCTAGCCGCTGCAAATATCCATGGGCTGGCAGGCGCTTTGCTGGCTATCTTACTCATCGTGTTCGAGCCTGGCTTCATTGCTTTTGCCACGGCTGGAAGATTCATCCGCCTTCAAACTTCCTGGTCCGCCATTTTTCAGAACTATCTGCTTCTAGGAGGAACTGTCATGGCTGCTATCTCTGTGCCTAGAACCGAGACTGCATCACGGCCATGTGAAACTGTGAAGAAGCCTTGCAGGTCGAAGAGGTTTCACCCTATCACCATCATCTTCGTCTTTTTCTGCATTTTGCAGGTAATGCTGATTGCGAAGTACATGACTTTCGATGGGAAGACCCCAGAGGCTTGTCCTGGTTTTGTGAACTTTAGATCAATCTTTTCAGACGTTTACACTTGGGTGGGCGCACTTCACATGGCTTCATTGCCCGTGGTTGTTTTACAGCAGTTGGAGTAGAGGAAGCATGAGGTACCTCTATTTCAAAGGTCACAGGCGGTAAGGCAACCAAACGTATTACTTACCTACCTAGGCTCTTGATCAAGCTGGGCCCTCATGCACTCATGCACTCACCCGTTATCCTATAATTCGTTCCCTCTCCACTGCTCGTTTGGCTCCATTGCCTGACACCTGCCGGGCACTGGCAGCTCAGCCTGGCCCTTTCACCTCGTCACTGAATCAGTGGCTCAGGTAACTTTACTATTCTCTCTACCTTACCCACTCCCTCTCTCTTACTTCGCCATTTGTTTATTCCTTTCATCTCTGCAGTGCGTGACCGAGACTCCTCCCATTTCTTACGCCTCCCAAACTCTCGTCATGTCGGCAGAACAATCACGGGAGGACACTCCTTCGCAGCGAGAGAAAAACCTCTCTATAAAACTTGAAAAGGCAGAGTTGGCTCTTCAAGCCAATTCGCAACGGGAAGCCGAACTCCTCACTGAACTTCTTCGAGCCAAGGCGACACTCCTGGATGAATCCCAGCAGCGCGAGCATCGCCTTTCGGCCCAGCTGGAACAAACCTCAGCAGATCTTGATGCGTCTCAGAAAAGAGAGCAGCAGACTTTGACTCTTTTTGAAAAGCTCACTTCCGAGTTTGAAGCCTTGAAAAAGAGCGCTGGCGGTCCATCGTCGGAAATACTTGAGAAAGAGGCCGCTCTCGTTGCGTCTCGACAGCAGGAAAGACAACTGTCAATGGAGCTTCAAAGTGTCAAGAATGAGCTTTCCTCCTGCAAAGACAGCCGAAAGCCTATCGAGAGAGAACTTGCAGACACAAAGAAGGATTTAGAACGATCGCGAAACTCCGCAACAGAGCAATCAGCTCGCCTCGATGAGGCCAACAAGAAGATCCGAGAACTTTCGAAAGAGGCAGAACAGTCCAAACTAAAGATTTCCGAGATGAGCAAGGCCAGTGAGCAGGCAGGCCGTAGCTACCAGAGCCTTTGGTCTCGGTACAACAGACTACAGGAATCGAACAAGAACAACCGTTATTACCAGCAGTCAACATACCACTGGCCACCACTCCAAGCACCATCTCAGAGCTTTCGATTCGACGACCAGCCACGGAATGTAAATCCTATGTTTAACTTCAACCTCGGAGCGAATCAGCAAGGGTCGCAAGTCAATGTGGCACAGAGGTTCGGAACACAGTCACACTCGACGACCACATTCGGCGCAGTAAGTGCTATACAGCCAGGAGGCTCACGGTCGTTCAGTCACAACGACAGCTCTCAATCAAAGTATTCTTTCAACGGTTTTAGACCTGCCACACTGAAGCTCTCTAATCCCCCCAATGGACCCGGAAACCAGAAACGGCAACAAGATAATCAGATCCAGCAAGGCGCAGCCGATCCCAAGAGACTCAAGAAGGAGACATGAATTTTCAGAATGATTTATGTCGAGATAAAAAGCTTTTCAACACACTTCAAAATTGCGAAACGAATGATTGGTGTCTTTCCCTGACAAAAGACCGGAGCTGGGTGTGCGATATACCAAGTCACGCATATAAAGGCATTTTATACAATGTCTATGGTCATTGGACGTCGGGAAGGATGTTGAAAGCCCAAATTTTTGAGCACTACGGATAGTGGATGAAAGCAGGGTGTAAGGAACACATGGATGGGCGAAAATAGACAGATATGCTGTCAGGATCATGGCTGCGGATTTCAGCGATATGTGAAGGACGACTCCATAGAAAGAGTCTATATTTACTGGCATTTGTAATTTTGATGCTTTCATGAGTCTCGATTCAAGGTTATACTGAGAGGCTTTCTTCACAGTCCACTTGGTGGTTCCACTGCGATGATAGCACACTTGCGATCTTTTATATGTTTTGAACTTCCTCTAACAATGTGCATCAATTAGCATAAAAGGCATGTCGTCTTTGCTCTCAAATGGTACAGTGAGATTCAACTGAATATCTTTCCCAAAAGAACCATGTATTATAAACAAATAAAAGAGAAATCTCCATTTACCCAAGCGAGCTGATATCATCACCTCTATTACCTGAACGGCAAGGTTTCTTTGCATCTGCAGAGACTGTGTGCTTCACAGCGATAACCGCCCTGCTATGCTTTTCGAAGCCCCTTGCTTGAAAATATTGCATGTCTATTGAACTTATTCCGAGTTTGGTCACCTAGTGAATGACCTTTGGTGATACAATTGGGGTCTTGGCCTATGGTTGAGTAATCAAGACAACCATTCGATTTGTATTGTCGACTTGTCAATCTTGCGAGTCATATCATCCTGTGAAAGACTGACTATTAAGTCAAGTTCCTATAGTATTCCTAAGAAAGTGACATCGCGTGAATGACTTGACATCAGTGAAGATCGAAACCCTATCGCCGATCTTTTTATAATGCAATGGATACTTTTGGCGAGCCGATTTAGCAACTTTAGGAACAGTAGAGTCACATCTAACATCGAGGATCGATTCCTGGATATTAAGTAGGGAAGACAATCAATCGACTTGGTCGCGAGTCGAGCGTTTACAGTATGTATGTTCCTCTGCACACTCCTGAGACTGATCATAACCAGTTATCCCTTGGCAAAACAATGGTGTTTAGGAAAGTAGGGGGCCAATAGAAATATTCCAAAATCATTGAAAAGATTCAAGAAGTGGGTAGTGAGATTGATTATGTGTCTGGTATGATAGTCAATACAGCTGTGACATGTGATCGCAATCGTATATAGTACCTATGTATGTCTATGGTCTGATCATACATCTACATAACCAGGTAGATTATACAAAGACTTTGTCATATGACCAAAAAAGGACGTTTCTCGATTACGGGACGAGACTGAGTGAGTGTCATTTCCATAACTGGCACCGTTAACTGACGATCACTCTACTTACAGCCATAATCATCTGAGATCTATATAAGGGCAACGCGGAGGTTGTTCCCTATGCCACCCTCCAGCAACACAACCCGTTTCAGATTAAGCAATAAAGTATTGAGTATTCGACAAGGTTAAAGTCTCTGACATCATATCAGATCTTTTCTTGACCGAGGTAGCTGAAACGGGGTGTTTCATTGTCCATTTTCGGCATCACGTGGGAGTAATTTGCATCAGCGATGATATGTATGTCAACTCTAGGCTGCCACTCGACTTTCATATGATCGATTGTTATTACAGACAAACCTTACACCGACTCTGGATCAGGGATGCTCTGCTCTGACATTATCACATTGTGCGTGCCAACGCATCGACTCGGCCCGTATGCCACCATCCTCATGGCCACGGGCCGTGAGATCGACACCTCCTTCTTGTGGTGAGGTAGTGAGGGAATACCGCCAACCTCCAGGCACAGCAAACTGCTCAAGGCCCGGGCCCGCGGATCAGACCCTCGATGCATCCGCATGAATGAGATGGCCAGCACCCAGGTTCTCCGCATCAGCCCATCACCAGGCCTCCCTCTCTGGCCATCACATGTCGCCTGTCAAACCAAAAGGAGAAGCTGCCATCTTTTATCATCTCCCTCTTTGATTACCTTACGGCCCTCCGATCCGACCAGGTCTTCCGTCTTCGTTTGCACGGCATAGTTTCTCCGTCGGCTGACCCCTACTGTCTTCCCCGGAACATGGGGGTCCTTCGGCTTCTCAATTTCAAACCCACGCGGAACCATTTGTTTGGGAAGTTGGGGAAATTCGGACGAATTTGGGGGTCGACTTGGCTCGGGAGGGGGTGGCAACTTGACAGTGACAGTTGACAGCAAAAAGCCAATGGCCTGGAAGCTGGAGGCTCCCCGTGGCATGATCCCATGTCAGCAGGCACAGGGCCCTGCAGGCTATTATGCTTGGTAAAACCTGGGGTCTGGGGTAACAAGAGTTTGGTATGCACGACCTGCCCGTCGCAGCAGAGGCGCAGTCGGGCTGCTGATTACCAGTAAACGATTATTAGTCAAGGACTCTGGGTAAGAACTGCAGCGATTTGCATGTTTTGTGATAATCTCGTCTTATCAGCCAAGTGCATTGGGTAATTTACAGCATCAGAAGACACCTTCGCCTACACTACCATCCAAATCCCTCAGCTGTTACACAGAGCATATCGCATAGGTAGGCATGGGCCGATGAGAGGCTTATTCTTCGATTGATATGATGCTAGAACCACACTGGTGGTACTTCAAACTACTAAACAGCGAGTCTAGGCATTTACTCCAGCCATATCTGGCATGTTTCGGTATATCAATGCTTAGCCTCTATAATAGGATGTTGATAATTCAGCCGCTCACGCAAGAATGGTCGACGAGTTGCACACGACAGTAAACTTGGCGTTGTAAACACAACATCTCAACCATACCAAGGCTGAATTCAATAGCCGTCAATGGTCGACATCGTTCCATCCCCCCAACTTGAATCAATTACCGGCCGCGGCACAATGGCTTTAAACTCTCGGCAGAAGATACTAAAGGGTGAGTGCGGAGAACCTTCACCACGTGGTACGCTGAAGAAATGGTGGTAGCCTGTAGGTACATGAGATACCTCCAAAACGCAGGAAATTGACATCTGCTCAAGTTAAGCACTAAGTTGAGGGTGACAGTCAACTAAAGTTACCTACCCAGTCGGCTTGACTTTCGGCAAGTCTAAGCTTCAAAAGTTGTTCTCAAAGGCGACTCTTGTCGGTATCCAATTCATCTAAGGCTTACAAGACGCGGCTGAACAACCTTGAGCGGAAGCGCAGATACTAAATCAGCCAAGCCACTACAACAGATGCGGTCAGTCTCACTTGAATCGTAATTCGCATCCTGCACCATCTCCAACTGTTGTCCCCTCATCGGCAACTCCGTTGATAATGGACCTTGAAACGCATGCCCATATGGCGATTATCGAAGTATCTCATGGCAGACCCAATATTGTCGACTTTGCCTCCTCATGGCTAGGAATATGACACATCCACGCGAATTTCACGTGTCAAATATGTCAATGAGTTAGTGAAAGTAAAAAAAGCGATCCATTAATTTGTCACAACAGCACCAATGAGGGAACATCAAATACCCTGCCATTATCGGACCGACAGAGGCGGTAACGGTTCAACTCATATCAATGGCGTTGAGAAGGGCCGCGGCGAGACAGGCAAACGGTGATGAATAAGGGTCCCGTCCGAGCAAAAAGGCATTATTGAGGGGCCGAGGAGCGCCGCAAAGTCGCCGGGAACAAGACGATTCTTATCAGTGGAGATGTGATGTTGTTGGAGTTTTTTTTTTTTTGGAGTTTGTTCTGGAGACCTTCTGGGTCCATTTTGATCTCACGATATCTCATGAGTCGTCTCTGTCTGGCTGATACCGGGGCTCAGCGGAGTTTGATGATGCAAGAGCCAGATTTTGATGCCCAACCATAACCGTTTGTATTAGAGTTTACAAGGCTGATTACAGGGACACCAAACTGTTCCGTTTGAGATGTCTTCTCCACTATGGATCCGAAAAGAGATTTGAGTGGAGATGAGGGATAAAATACGGAATTAAATTACTGATTTCTTGATTTTCTCATTCGTCGAGAGCCATTGTCGGGTTGTTGTCGAACTAACAAGACCTCAAGTTGCATTTCACCGCGTGATGTCTTTGACGAAATGCCAGAAAATACCGCGTTGTCTCTTTAGCTTAGAATCCTCATCTGCCGCATCGTCAACAGTTGCCCTTTTCAGCCTCAGCTTTAACCCGCGCGTGATCGAGAGAAAATTGATGGAGGTGTGAGGTGTCCTTCTCCACGTGCGGGAGAAGACTTCTAGAAGACCTAGAGGTCTCATGAGGGTGACGGGCGATTGGTCGGGGCACATCTGAGTCAAGTCCGCACACCACCAGCCATAAGAGGGATAGAGTGATGGCTCGTGCTCGTGCTCGGACAACACCATCATGGGTATATGGGATACGCAGTGTGAGCCTGAGGTGTCAATGTCGATGTGGATCGTCAGATTACCGCGCTTGTGTTCCCAAGTGCAAGCGCGGTTGTCCATGATGAAGTGTCTAAGTATGTTATGGCTGTTCTTGTGGCAGATGGTCGGTACCTATCTGACAGCTCTTCCCCGTGGTCAGTTCCCGACCTGAAGTAAAACATATGTCTCATTTCCGGTTCACTATTCGGTCATAGACGGGCGAGATGACCTCGTCTCGACATGCAAACAACACAACCCGTTTGCATCATCGAACAACGCATCAACACCAAAGAATGCGAAAATCTCATTCTCATGGCCCAGATCTATAGCCGCGTGATGTTCCAATGGGGGCTCTTTGAGAGCAAGATCTGCGAGATTTGGAGATTCTGGGGTGTCGCGAGAACGCCCCCAGAGTATGACGTAGCGGCACCCCAGATCTCGATGGATCTTGGAGAAGATAGAAACATCGATATCAACTTGAGTTTTCGATGTTGACCACTGTTTAAGTT